TTTCTCTTGCAGGGGATGAGGGGGGGGGGTCCTGGCCCGCTTGGGATAGCGCGCGTTTGGTTTTCGGATGGGCGAAGGGGCAGAATCGCAAGCGAATTGCAATGCGAAGTCGGGGTTCATGAAGACCGGGGCGGGGGGGGGGTCGATCCTGATTTTTTTAAACAAAGGAGAATCGATGTTGCGCATGTAATTTCTTATTGCAGTGAGTTGTCCGCTCCATTGCTCGCGCAGCCACCCCGCCCGCCCGCCCGCAGCTTGGCTTGCAATGCCCATGCGGCGGCAATTGCGATGAGTGCTGGGCGTTGGCGGTTGCATGTCTGCGCCCGCTCTATGTCGCGCATGCTCGCGCGCGCAGCGGCCAGAAAGTTTGACGCGACCGGCGCGGCTGCGGTGGCGCTGAACTCCGGGCACTTCCAGGCGGGCACTTCAGCGCGAGTCGGCGACTTGGGCGGGCGCGGCATCATGCCGACAGGCGCGATGATGGTTGTAGCGATGCGGGCGACGATGATGCACGACTGCGGCAAGGCCAGCGAAGGCGCCGATGCTGATGGCGGTGGCGACGATTACGGCGCCCTTGCTTCGACGATGAAAATTTTGGAAGGACTTCGACATGCGCTCGCGGCAGACGCGCGAGAGTGGCCCGCGCGGCATCATTTGACGCGGATCGCGCCACCCCCAGCACGCGCGCAAGGGCAGTCGATCGATTTCGACATGTGGCGCGAGAGGCCCGTTTGGTCGAACTCAATGCACACGTTGACAATCGGATCGTGTCCTCCGGAATTCGGAGGAGCGCGGGCGCAGGCGCCTTCGAAAGCTGGCGTTGCAACGTCGTGCTCGTTTGCATTTTTCGGGGCGCTCGATCAAACCCGCGCGACGCCCAATATTTCCGAAGGGTTGCCGCGTGCGCGCGCGACGACGCGCGCGCAGTTTTTTGTTGCGTGTTTGTTTTTGTTTTCCAGGTGGTTCGTGAGATCGCGCGCGCAGGGGCGTTCGAACGATTTCGCCATGCGCGCGCGAAAGGCCCGCGTTGGTCGCATGCCATGAACAGTTGGAAAAATAGAAAAAACAATGGTCTTCATGAGAAGCTGCAAGAGCGCGAGCGCAAATTGTTTCGACAGTTCCAGTTGCGAAACCGGGAGCTTGTAGATGCTTTCGGAGCGCTCGTTTTTTTGTGGCACCGGAGGTTTTTTGCAGAATTTCGGCTTGCGCGCGCGACGACGCGCGCGCGACGACTCGTCAATGAGCGAGCGCGCGCGTATTTTTTCGGCGGAGGATAAGGGGGGGGCGCCAGCCTGCCTGGGGCGCCGTGCATTTTTACATCGGATGGGCGATGGGGCAGGTCGCATGTAAAGTGCAATTCGAAAAGGGCGACCGTTGATGCCCGGGGGGGGGGGGGGAGATCCAAGTCTTTTCCTTCGAAAGGAGGCCCTGCGTGGTTCAATCTACGCGGTGCAATCTGTCGCTGGCTCAATTTGAAGTTGTTCACTCCACTGCTCGCGCAAACATTCCACCCGCCCGCCCGCGACTTGGCTTGCACTCCCCATGCGGAAGCGATTGCGAGGAGTGCTTGGCGATGGCTGGTGCATCTGCGGCCGCGCTAGCCCGCGCATGCTCGCGCGCGCAGCGGCCAGAAAGTTTGGCGCGACCGACGCGGCCGCGGTGGCGCTGACCGGCGGGCGCGTCCCAGCGTGCGCTTCTGTGCGCGTCGGCAACTTGGTCGGGCGCGGCATCGTGCCAACGCCGACGACGGTAGACATGATGATAGTAGCGATGTTGGCGACGATGCTGGCGGCGACGACGGGGCAGCCAGTGACGGCGCCGACGCCGATCACGCCGACGACGACGACGGCTTCTTCGCGTCGGTGATGAAGGTTTGTGAAAGAATATGAAATGCGCGCGCGGCAGACGCGCGAGAGTGGCTCGCGTATTTCTTATTTGACCCCAGCACGCGCGCAAGGGCATTCGGGCGATTTCGGAATGCGCGCGCCCGCTTGGTGGCATGTTATGAAAGTGTTGAACAACTTACGGTTTTCTGAGGAAGTCGCAGGAGCACGCGCGCACGCTTTTGTTGAACATCCGCGTTGCGAAACCTCGTGTTGTTGTATGTTGTTCCGGCATTCGATTTTGAAACCCTTCCGGAACCAAGTGCGTCGGCATGCGCGCGCGACGGCGCGCGCGTGCACTTCGTCCTTTTTTTGCAAAGGTCTCTCGCGACGGCGCGCGCGCAAGGCGCTCGAACGATTTCGACATGCGCGCGCGAAGCCAGTTTGGCCATTGGCCGTATGTTGTGAAGATCTTGTAAACAAGCAGTGGTTTTCTCAAGATTTCACGAGCGCGCGCTTGTTTTTTTTTTTTTTTGGGGGGGGGAACGCCGCGTTGCGAAATCCTATGTTGTTGTGTGCTTTTGCGGGGAACTCGATTTTGAAATCCTTCCGAAGTCGAATGTTGGTGAAGGATTCCGGCATGCGCGCGCGACGACGCGCGCGCGTGCACTTCGTCCTGTTTTTTCTTGCAAGGGATACTTCGCCCTACTTCTTGTTGCAAGGGATCCTTGAAAACTTATGATTCTTCATCAACGAATGCGCGCGTACTTTTTTTACAGAGTATGGAGGGGGGGCGATGCCGGTTCCCCTGGGATAATGTAAACCCATATTCAAGATGGAAGATAGGCCAGCACCATTTGCAAATTGCAATGCGAAAAGTTGGATCGTCAAGTCTGGGGGGGGGAGGGTGGTAGAACCTATGTCTTTTAAGGGAAGGGGGATTCATCTGCCGAACTTGAAGTTGCCCACTCCACTGCTCGCGCAATCATCCCGCCCGCCCGCCCGCAACTTGATTAGCAGAACACCTGCGGGAGCGATTGCGATGAGCGCTGGGTGTTGGCTGGTGCATCTCTGCGGCCGCGGTGGCCCGCGCATGCTTGCGCGCGCAACAGGCAGCTAGTTTGGCGCGACCGACGCGAACGCGGTGGCGCTGACCGCTCGGCAAATCCCAGCGGGCACTTCACTGCGGGTCGGCGACTTGGGTGGGCGCGGTACCATGGAACAAACGACAACGGCAGACGCGGTGATGATAGTAGCGATGTTGGTGACGATGCTGATAGCGACGGCGGGGCAGCCAGTGACGGCGCCGATGCTGATCACGCCAACGACCGTGACGGCTTCTTCGCGTCGGTGATGAACGTTTTGAAAAGAATATGAAATGCGCGCGCGGCAAACGCGCGAAAGTGGCCCGCATAGTATTTTTTGGCACGGATCGTGCCACCCCAGCACGCGCGCAAGGGCGTTCGAACGATTTTGACATGCGCGCGCGCGAAGCCCGTTTGGTAGCATTCTACGAAGATCAGCCAGCGTTGACTCCAAATCGATTAGACGACTCCAGTTTAGGAATCAGAGGACTCAAGCATGCTTGAAATCCGCAATTCAGCAAACAAGCAGGCATGAAAGCAAACTCTGCGCAAGCAGGTAAGCACGCAAACGAGCAAACGAGCAAACAAGCAAACGTGGGGGGGGGGCATACACATAAGGGGGGCAACGGACCAATCACTAGGGTTCGAGGTCGAACTCATGTAGGGCGAACCTATTTGGATAACATGTTGTAAAAAGTATGCATGTTTTTTTAGAATTCGACAAGAACCCGCGTACGTTTGTGTTGAAAATCCGAGTTGCGAAACCACGTGTTATTTAACATGTGTTTGTGGGGATCTCGATTTTGAAATCTTGCCGAAACCGACAGTGTTTGAAAGATTTCGGCATGCGCGCGACGACGCGCGCGTGCGCAAGTCGTCCCATTTGTTGCCATGGATTCTTGGCAACCTATGATTGTTGAATAACGAGTGCGCGCGCGTAGTATGTTTTGCAAAGGATGGCGGGGGGGCGATACCGGCCTGTCTGGGATAGTATGAATTCACATGTAATTAGGATGGGCATTGGGTCAAACTCTTATGTGTTTTGCATAGGTTCCCAGGGAATCGATCAGTCGGGGGGGGGCTTTATAGAGAAAGGGGAATCTTTGTGGCGACGGAGGGCAAAGCAACGCAACGCAAGGCGACGCAATGCACAGCATTGCCAGTCAAATTAAGACAGTACGAGGCCACGCAAAGAGGCGACGACGAGGCGGCGACGGGGCGGCGACGGCGACCACATAGCCGGCAGACCAACGCCCAGGCCGAGTTCCATTGAAAAATAGTAGGGGTCCCGAGCTGCAAACAACGTTTGGCGAAATTGGGACAACATTGAATTTGAAGGGGATGGGATGAGGAAAATTCGAGAAGTATGGAAACGTCCTTATCTTTCGAACAGTGCTTGTACTTCGGGGTTTCTACTTTTCTGCTATGGTAACTGAGCCCGAGTACCGCCCCAGCTGGGTAGTCGCCCCCCGCCGCCGCGCCGCCGTCACCGCTGGCAACTGGGCCTGAGTGCCGATCCGGCCGGCTCGACACCACCTGTCACTGCCGCCGTCGCCGCTGGCAACTGTGCCCCAATGGCCTTCCCGACGGCTCGTCGCCGCCTGTCGCCGCCCGGCACCGCCGTCGCCGCAGGCTTGTTTGGCATTGTAATCGCATTGCTTTGCACACCGCTGCATTGCATTACATTGCATTGCTCGGTATTGCTTTGTATGTCTTTGCATCGCTTTGCATTTTTTGCAGCGCTTTGCTTGTTTTTTTTACATGGCTTTGCATTGCTTTGCATGGCGTTTCAATGCGTTGCATGGCGTTCCATTGCTTTACATTGGTTTGCGTTGATTTGCATGATTTGCATTGCTTTGTATTGCTTTGCGCTGCGTTGCAACACATAGATTGCACGACATGGACTGCGCCATCTAGATGCCACCACGCTGATTGCACCACCTAGACTGTGCCGCATGGATCGTAATACATCGTTGCTGAGCGTCCGTGCTGGCCAACACTGGAAATTCTGGAAATCATGTCGATTCGCTTGTGGCACCCCTGCTTGTTGGTCCCCCGAGAGGCGAGGAAGAAGGCACCGCCGCCGCCCTGGATGGCGGCGGCCGCGCTGTTCGGGCCGAAGGTCGGCCACAAAAATGAATACACAGACGCCCTCCAATGGACCAATCCTGGGCCTCATGGTGAGGGTGGCGGTGTAGAAGTCAACACTGAAACCATCTCACTTGATACACCGCCGCGCTCCCTGAAGGCACATGCAAAGTTCGTCGGAGGGTGTCTGTGTATTCCTTTCCGTGGCGTAGAAGGGGGCCAAGAGGGCGGCGGCGTCTTTGGAGGGCGCGGGCGCCGAGGCGGCTTCGGACGGCCCGGCGGCGGCGGCGGGTTCCGCGGCCGAGGGGGGGCAGAAGAGGAGGCTGGACCTCGCCGACCTCTCGGCCCTCACGCGGAGCATCGCGGAGGAGCTCATCATTGCGTGACATGGTAGGTTCATGCAGCGTTGGCGCGCCAGCGACACCGGCGAAGGCGTTCCAGGTTGAATTCTGCGACGCGGAAGCACCGATGGATACGGCAACGCCACTGGACCTGACTGACGACGCGGTGACAAAAACCTTCGCGCGCGCCGAAGCCGCACTAACCTACCGTTTCCGACCATGAGCCAAACTTTTGGGTCGGGTTTGGGGGACGCCGCGGCGATCGCGGCGGCCACACATCGGGGCCAAGGTGTTTCTGTCGAGGAGTGGCATGTCCCTTCCCAGTCCACCCCCGCTGTGCGATGTAGATGTTGCACATAACAAGTTCACCATAATATACCGAGGGGTCGATTATCGCGCAACCAGGAGCGGAGCAAGTTGCGGCTCTTCGTCATCAAGCAGAAGGAGGACTTCGATCAGAAGAAGGCGGCGGGCGGCGACGGCCTGGGCGGCACGGACGAGAACGAGTACTTCTCTGCCGTACCAGGCGACGAGTTCGGCCCATCTCGCCAGTTTCGAGTAGAAGCCGGCATCGGGCGCGGGGTGTTTTCCAGTGTATTTTCTTGCCGGGACACGAGAGACAGTCCCGGCAAGGAGTATGCCGTAAAATTCATTCGCCGCAATACCATGATGCGGCGCGCCGCGGAGAAGGAGGTGGAAATGTACCGCAAGCTCGCCAAGGGCGGGGAGAAAGACGACCCAGAGGGCGCACGTTTCTTGATCAGCCTGGCGGGATGTGGGACACTGGAGCACCAAGGACACTTGTGCATGTTCTTCGAGCTCCTGAAGTGTGACATGCGCTATGCCCTGCAGAGGTACGGGCAGGGTGGAGGGCTGCCCTTGCCGGCCCTCATGCAGTACACGCGCCAGGTTTTTCTCGGGCTTCGAGCCTTGAGGAAGATGAAGGTCGTGCATGCCGATCTGAAGCCAGACAATATATTTGTAGTGCTGCGCCGCCTGCCGCCAGACCCACAGGTTGAGCCGTCTCGGGGCCCTCTTCAAAATAATTGCGAGGCGCCTTGCTGGGCCATCCTGCGGCCTCTCGGGAGCATCTTGGAGCCTCCAGGGCCCACCTTCGGGCCTCGGGGCTCTCTGGGGGCATCTCGAGGCCGTGTTGAGGCTCGTCGTGTTTTCTGGATGGTTCTGGCGGCACCTCGGGGCCTCTGGGGATAGATAACTTGGGGGCCAGCTTGGGCAATACTTGAGGCCCTGGAGGCGAAACGAGCGAAACCCAAACATAAGTCAACAGCCAATGGCTTCTCAGTTCTGTGTGTTTGCCGTCTCGGGGGTCTTTTGGAGGGAGCCCCCTTCGGGGCCCTCCTGGAGGCACCTTGGGATCCCTTGGCCGTACGACCGCCTCCAAGTCATGGGTCAGAAGCTGACAACCGTTCGTTTTCTTCTCTTTGTCATTTACCCTGCAAGCCTCTTAATTGCATCCTTCATTTCTCTATGCTACCCCTTCTACGTGTGATCTCTACCCTGTAGTCTCCACCGTCTACCATCCACTCCCCACTCTTGCCTCTCCATTTCTTTGCTCGCTCCTCGATGTTGTCTGCTTCATGCACTCGCGCTGCTCTTTACTCGCCACTCTCCGCTTCTCTGGATCTCTCTCTCTCTCTCTCTTTCTCTTTTTGCTCTCTCTCTCTCTCTTTCTGTCTCCCTCGCTGCTTCTGCGACCGTCTCTATTACCACTGTTTTCAGACTTTCGCCAAACCCTGGCAACGCCGAGAACCCAGGAGCCAGAGAACTGGGAACCCAGGAACTCGGCCGCCTATCAACATAGGTGGCTCAGTTTCGCCAGATCCGTACAATCCCCACGAGAGGCCTCTCAGAGCAAGCGCTGACTGGGGACGAGCGACTGGAGATGGGACCCACAGGGATCATTGTAGTCATGTATGTATGTATGTATGCATGGATGCATGCATGCATGCATGCATTCATGCATGTATGTATGTATGTATGTATGTGTATGTATGTATGTATGTATGTATGCATGCATGCATGCATGTATGTATGTATGTATGTATGTATGTATGTATGTATGTATGTGTGTGGTTGCATGCATGTAGGTATTTATACATGCATACATACATGTATGCATGCATATATGTATGTGTGTATATGTATGTATGTATGTATGTATGTATGTATGTATGTATGTATGTATGTATGTATGTATGTAAGTAAGTAAGTAAGTAAGTAAGTAAGTAAGTAAGTGTGTGTGTATGTATGCTTGTATGCATGCATGCATGTGTATAGGTATGTAGGCAGGTATGTCTGTATGTATGTATGTACGTATGCATGCATGCAGACATGCATGCATGCATGCATGCATGCACGTATGTATGTATGTATGTATGTATGTATGTATGTATGTATGTATGTGTGTATGTATGAATGTATGTATGTATGTATGTATGTATGTATGTATGCGTGTATGCATGTATGTATGTGTGTATACTCATATGTACACACGTATGGACGTATGCGTGTATGGATGGATGGATGTATGTATGGATGTATGGGTTGATGGATGTGTATATGTATATGCATGTATTTGGATGTGCCTCTCTATACAGAGACATACTATATATATGTCTGTAACGGGAGATGTAATTGTATATGTATGTATACACATATGTGTATGCATGCCTCTAACTATCGAAGACGCCTACGGCGAATCACCGCCGCCTCCTGCATTTTGGAATCGCCCATGTGGACAAGCGTTGTGGAAAGATCTCTGCCAAACTATCAGACCATGTGTTTCCCCCAGCCGTTGTGGAAACCCTTCGGGGATCACTTGGGGGAGGATGGCGGGGAAGATCAGGACGAGGAGGAGGAGGAGGAAGAGAAGGAGGAGGACGAGGAGGAGGAGGGGGCATCTCGGGAGCCTCTGGGGGGCACTCTTGGGGCCTCCTGGGAGCATCCTGGGAGCCTCTTGGAGGCATCTTTGGGGCCTCCTTGGGGGCCTTTGGGGTCTTCTCGGGGGACTGTTTGGCTGTCTTAATGAATTCCTGGCCCGTCTGACGCCGTCGGAAGCCGTCTTGGGGGCCTCTCTGGGCCGACTTGGAGCCATCTTGAGCTGCTCCAGGGTCATCTTGGAGGCCATCTTGGGCGTCTTGGAGGTCTCTTGGGCCGTCTTGGGGCATTCTTGGGACCGTCTTGGGGGCCTCTTGGGCCAGTCTGGGGCCATCTTGGGTGCCTCTTGGGCGATCTTGGGGCGATCATTGGGGGCTCGTGGGCCGTTCCGGCCCGTCGGACGGCAGAGAAAAATCAATCCCCAACATCCTTCAAACACCTACAGCAAATCATTAATTGTGGCCTCGTCGGGCCTTTCTGGAGGCCCTCTTGGAGGCCCTCTTGGGGGCCTCTTGGGCTGTCTTGGAGACCTCTTGGGGCCTCTTGGGCCGTCTTGGTCCATCTTGGAGCCATGTTGGGCCGTATTGGTGGGTCTCCTGGCCCGTCTGACGCCGTTGGAATCCAGCTTCGGGGGATCTCTGGGCCGACTTGGGGCCTCTTGGGGTGCTGCAGGGCCGTCTTGGAGGCCATCGTGGCAGTCTTGGAGGCCTCTTGGGCCGTCTTGGGGCTCTCTTGGGGCCGTCTCAGGGGCCTCTTGAATCATTCTAAAACCATCTTGGGCCGTCTTGGGCCGTCTTGATGGCTTCTTGGGCGGATTCGGAGTTATCTTGGTGCCGTCTTGGGCCGTCTTGATGGCTTCTTCGGCAAACTTGGAGGCAACTTGGAGCATCATGGGCCATCTTGGAGGCCAGCTTGGGCTAACGTGATCATCTTAGAGGCCATCTTGACCGTCTTGGAGATATTGCTAGTGGACGCTGTTCTCGTTTATGGTCCCCAGGTGTAGTTCTTTTGGTCAAATAACCAAACCAAGAGCGTAAGAACTCCAGCACGCCAGGCACCCCTGTGGCAAGCCAACAGGGGGCAGCGGATCGAAGACGCCTACGGCGAATCACCGCCGCCCCCTGCCTGTTGGAATTGCCCATGTGGCCGAGCGTTGTGGCAAGAGCTCTGCCAAGCTATCGGACCATGTGTTCCCCCAGCTGTTGTGGGAAACTCTTCGGGGAACACTTGGGGGAGGATGGCGGGGAAGAGGAGGGGGAGGGGGAGGAGGAGGAGGAGGAGGAGGAGGAGGAGGAGGAGGAGGAGGAGGAGGAGGAGGCGTCTTGGGAACCTCTGGGGGCATTCTTAGGGCCTCCTGGGAGCAGCCTGGGAGCCTCTTGGAGGCATCTTAGGGGCCTCCTTGGGCATCTTAGGAGCCTGGGGGGCTTCTCTGATGCCTCTCTGGCCGTCTTGGGTCTCCTGGCCCGTCTGACGCCGTCGGAAGCCGTCTTGGGGGCCTCTCTGGGCCGACTTGGGGCCCTCTTGGGGTGCTCCAGGGCCGTCTTGGAGGGCATCTTGGGCGTCTCGGAGGCCTCTTGGGCCGTCTTGGGGCCCTCGTGGGGCCGTCTTGGGGCCCTCTTGGGCCGTTCTGGGGCCATCCTGGAGGCCTCTTGGGCGATCGTTCGGCGATCTTTGGGGGCTCTTGGGCCGTCTCGGGCCGTCGGAAGGCCGAACAGAAGGAAATGCCAAAATCCGTCAAACACCTTAGGAACATCAATGCTGTTGGCCTCTTCTGGCCTTCCTGGAGGCCCTCTTGGGGGCCTCTTGGGCCGTCTTGGGCCAGCTTCGAGCCAACTTCGGCCATCTTGGTGGGTTCCTGGCACGTCTGACGCCGTCGGGAGCCGTCTTGGGGGCCTTTCTGGGCCAACGGGGGACCCTCTTGGGGCGCTTCGGTGCCGTCTTGGAGGCCATCTTGGGCGTCTTGGAGGCCATCTTGGGCGTGTTGGAGGCCTCTTGGGCCGTCTTGGGGCCCTCTTGGGGCCATCTTGGAGGCCACTTGGGCCGTCATGGGGCCCTCTTGGGTGCATCTTGGGCGATCTTGGGGGGCTCTTGGGCTGTCTTGAGCCGTCGGACTGCCGAGAAGAAGCACATTCCAAAATCCTTGAACAAAAACCAAGGACAATCAATGATTTTGGCCTCTTCGGGCCCTCCTGGAGGACCTCTTGGGGGCCTCTTGGGCCGTCTAGGAGGCCTCTGGGGGGCCTCGTGGGCCGTCTTGGACTCTCTTGGGCCGTCTTGGAGGCCGTCTTGGACCATCTTGGGCGGACTTGGAGGCCATCTTGGGCCATGCCATCTTGGGCCAACGTGGCCATCTTGGACGCCATCTTGAGCCGTCTTGGGTGATTTTTTCGGGACGGTGGAGGGATTGGGTGATGGCGTGTGCGTCTTTCGGGTCTTGGGGGCGGCGGGCGGGACGGGCCGAAACCCATTGGGAGAGTTCTCTTAGAAAAAGAACCAAAACCAACACCGAACAAGTGCAGCACGACAGGCAACCCTGCGACGAATCGACAGGACCATCTTTGGCTGACTTGGAGGCCATCTTGGACCATCTTTGAGGCCATCTTGAGTCGACGTGGCCAGCTTGGAAGCCATCTTGAGCCGTCTTGGAGGATGTTTGGGGGAATTGAGCGCATTTGGAGCCTCCCTGGGCCTCTTGGGGGTCTTTGGGGGCTTCTTAGGGGCCCCTTTGGCCGTCTTAGGGCGTTCGTCGGAAGCCGTCTTAGGGGCCTCTCTGAACAGACTTCGGGCCCTCTTGGGGCGCCTCAGGGCCGTCTTGGAGGCCATCTTCGGCGTCTTGGAGGCCTCTTCGACCGTCGTCGGGCTGTCTTATGGCCGTCTTGGGGGCCTCTTGGGCCGTCACGGGGCCATCTTGGAGGCCTCTTGGGCGATCTTCGGGCAACCTTGGGGGCCTCTTGGGCCTTCTTGGGCCGTCGGAAGGCCGAAAATGTGCAACTGCCAAAATCCTCTAACAACCTAAGGATAACAAATGATTTTGGCCTCTTCGGGCCTTCCTGGAGGACCTCTTGGAGGCCTCTTGGGCCGTCTTGGAGGCCTCTTCGAGGCCTCTTGGGCCATCTTGGGTCAGCTTGAGGCCATCTAAGGCCGTCTTCGGTGCATATGGAGCCGTTTTAGTGGCATCTTGGGGCCATTTTGGCCGTCTTGGATGCCATTTTTGCCGTCTTCGAGACATCTTGGATGCCATCTTGGGCCATCTTGGCCGTCTTCGAGGCCATCGAGGGCGTCTTGGAGGCCTCTTGGGCCGTATTGGGGCCCTCTTGGGGCGGGCCTCTTGGGCCGTCACGGGGCCATTTTGGAGACCTCTGAGGCGACCTTGGGGGCCTCTGTGGATGCCAGAATCCTTCAAACACCTAAGGACAACCAATGATTTTGGCCTCTTCGGGCCTTCCTGGAGGACCTCTTGGAGGCCTCCTTGGCACGTCTTGGAGGCCTCCTGAGGGCTCTTGGGCCCATGTAAGGCCGTCTTGGGTGCATCTTGGGCCGTCTTGGAGGCATCTTGGGGCCATCTTAGCCGTCTTGGAGGCCATCTTGGCCGTCTTGGGGGCATCTTGGAGGCCATCTTGGCCGTCTTGGAGGCCATCTTGGGCGTCTTCGAGGCCTCTTGGGCCGTCTTGGGGCCGTCTTGGGGACCTCTTGGGCCGTCTTGGGGCCATCTTGGAGGCCTCTTGGGCGATCTTGGGACGACTTTGGAGGCCTCTTGGGCCGTTTTGGGCCGTCGGAAAGCCGAAAATGCGCAAATGCCCAAATCCTCAAAAAACTAAGGAAAACAAATGATTTTGGCCTCTTCGGGCCTTCCTGGAGGACCTCTTGGAGGCCTCTTGGCCCGTCTTGGAGGCCTCTTAGGGGTGTCTTGGGCCATCTTGGAGGCCTCTTGGGAGCCTCTTGGGCCGTTTTGGGCTATCTTGAGGCCATCTTAGGCGGTCCTGGGTGCATCTTGGGCCGTCTTGGAGGCATCTTGGGGCCATCTTAACCTCCTTGGAGGCCATCTTGGCCGTCTTGGAGGCATCTTGGAGGCCATCTTCGGCCATCTTGAGCGAGAAAGCCGACGAGATTGGGGAATTGAGCGCCTTCCGGGTGGCCGGCGGGACGGGCCGAAGCCCCAGGGTTTTTTTTTGTGGGCACGCCAGGCACCCCTGTGATGAATCAACAGGGGGCGGCGGATCTAGTGGCCTTCGGCCCATCCCGGCACCGTGCCTGGGTTGTGGGTGAGAGGCCTCTTGGATGTTAGTTTGGATATCGTGGGATGCCTCTCGGGGGCCTCTTGGAGCCAGTTTTGAAGCCTCGTGGGGGCCGTTAAGGGTGCCTTTTTTGGGCCTCTTGGGGGCCTCGTGGGGCATCTACGGGGCCTCTTGGGTTCTCTTGGGGGCCTCTTGGGTGTGTTTTGGGGCCTCCTGGGGGCCTCTTGGGCCGAAAGGCTCGAACTGTCGGTTCGTGCTGCCCCTCTTGGGAACGTCTTGGGGCCTTCTTGGGCGATCTTGGCTGCCCCTTGGGCCGTTTTGGGGCCCTCTTGGACCGTCTTTGGGCCCTCTTGGGGGCCTCTTGGGCCATCTTGGATCGCGAACAACGTAGAAACCACACTCGGAACATCATTGATTTGTGCCTCTTCGGGCTTCCTTAGGGGTTCTGTTGGAGCGCTGTTGGGGTCTTCTTTGGGGCCTCTTGGGCCGTCTTTGGGCCATCTCGGGTGTCTTGGAGCGCTCTTGGGTTGTCTTGGAGGCCTCGTGGACGCTCTTGGGCGCTTTCTGGGGCCCTCTTGGCCCGTGCTGGGGTCCTCTGGCCCTTAGAGAAATCATGCGAGGCAGCCCAAGAACGCGCGGGAACGCCCAGGAAACGATAACTGGGGCCCCACCCCTGAGAATACTCTCATCCTGGAGTCCTGAGCACAGAGAAAAGAGGATACATTACAGCCTGAAGAAAACTCCTCTTCGCGCCTCGCGGCACGGTGGTGGATTTGTTTATATTTACATCTAGATACACGTGTATACATACATACATATATATATATATTGAAATAGTATGTGAAGCTGTACATTCATATATGTAGTGTGTGTGTGTGTGTGAGTGTGAGTGTGAGTGTTTGTGTGTGAAATACAAGGAATCCAACAGACGCCAGCAAGGCAGCAGTCCAGCAATGTATTGGCGGATTGATGACTCTGAATCGGGCAGAGGTGCGCATATGCGACTTTGGTAGCGCCATGGACACGTCGGAGCAGGTGAAGACGTCTTATGCACAGCCGCGCTACTATCGGGCCCCCGAGATCATGTGCGGTCTTCCTTACGACACGCAGATCGACCTGTGGAGCGCAGGGGCAACTGTTTTCGAGCTGGCCACTGGGCGCATCCTTTTCACGGGCACGACGAACAACCAGATGCTGAAGCAGTTCTTGGACGTGTGCGGCGGTTGCCCCAAGAAGATGCAGACGGACGGGGAGGCGTCGAAGAAGCATTTCGACGGCAAGGGTGGCTTCCTGCACAGGGACAAGGACTCCATGAGTGGCCAGCCCATCGTTCTCAATTGCTCGGAGACGCTAAAGCCGCACCGGTCGGTGCTCGGCCTGCTTCAGACCACGCTGGCCACGCCGAGGGATGGCATGGAGGCATCGGTGCATGAGGCGTGGGTGAAGCAACTTGCAGATCTTGTAGGGGGATGTTTGCAGCTTGACGACACCACGAGGTTACAGCCAGCAGAGGCTTTGGAGCTACCGTTCTTCAAGAAGGACAGATGAGGAACGATGTGGATGTCGCCACTCCTCCTCACTTCTCGTTCGCCTTCTCGTCTTGACTCCTCCTTCTCATGTTCTTTCTTCTCCCTCCTCCCTGCCCATCCTGCTTCCTTCTTATCCGCCCGCCTCCTTCCTTCGCTCTCTCTTTTCGTTCTGCTCTCCCCCTCGTCATCCACCGCCGCCCCTCCCCCCGAGCACCAAACCCGCACTCAAAAGAAGTATGCCCAACTATGACTAAGTATGGTCCATGGAACAATGTGGTGCGCTCACCAACCCTCCGCCCTTCTCCCCATCCTCCTCATCTTCCTCCACCTTCTCCTTTACCCTCCTCCCTAAGACGCCCAAGAACCTCTCTGAGTGTAACTTCCGCAGCGGGTCAATGAGACTAAGTACAATTTCTCAGGACCACCTAACACAATGTAGCCATGTCGGCATACCGCTTACTATCATACGCGGGGCCTGTTTTGGTGAACTTCAGTAGTCGTAGTCAGTCGTAGTCAGAATTGTTCACACGTTGTACGATCGCGTCTCAATCAATCAAGAACCGTCCAACCCTTCCCAGCATGCCCAGGGCACGACCGACGCGAGCACAGCTGGCAGCACAATGTGAATTGCCACAAGCCATACTGGCTAGACCAACGTCACCGCCACATCGACTAGGCTCAGCAGGACCAGAACTGCGACGTGGAGCATTGCCCGTCACGAGCCACTGATCACATAACGCCTTGCCACACACGCGTCATTGCCACTCCTACATAAATCGGCCTCTTTCAGCGCAGCCAGTATTGCAACTCATACCCTGCCTAACGACAAGTCTCTTGCGCCATTGTCTTCCCTGCTGCATGAGGGTCTCTCGGTGTCGGGCCGTTCCTCAGGTCGTGGCCAGGCACGCCTCGTGGTATCACGATCGTTGTACCACCACGGCTGCTCCCAACACGTTATGTCTTGCGCAACGAAGACAACGAAATTTGACGATGTCGGCGAATCCAACATGTTAGCCAGCGTGGACCCAAACCAGTGCGGTTCTACCACTGCGTTTTGAGCAAGCTATGCGGCGCAATCTATGTGATGGCATCTATGTGGTGCACCGTGTGCTGTGCAACGTGTATTGTGCTTAAGAGGTGATGCGGTTTATGTAGTGCATTGTATGTGTGCACTCTATATACGTATATATATATACATATATATGTATACATGAGCATATATATATATATATATATATGTGTGCACATACGTATATATAATGTGTGCATGGATGTATGTGTACCGTGCGTGTATATATATACGTATTTATATATATGTATAAAAATATGTTCGGCCCATCCCGCCACCGTGTCTGTGTTGTGGCTGTCAAGTCTATTTGATGTTCGTTGGGATCTCGTGGGAGGCTTCTCGGGGGCCTCTTGGAGGCAGCTCGGGCGCTTATTGGTGGCCGTTTCAAGACCTCGTGGGGCCTCTTTGTGGCATCTGTGGGGCCTCTTGGGGCCTCTTGGGGACCTTGAGGCATCCTGGGCGCCTCTTCGCCCCTTGGGGCCTCCTAGGAGCCTCTTGGGGCGGGCAGATCGGATTTTCGGTTCGTGTTCCTCGTGTTGGGCCCCATTTGGGGGCCGTTGTCGGGCCCACTTGTGCCGTTTGGGGCGCCTCCTGGGTTGTCTTGGTGCTTTCTTGGGCCGTTGTGCGGCCCTCTTGGAGGCCTCTTGGGCCGTCGTGTGCCCTTTTAGGGCGGTCTTGGGGGCTTCTAGGGCTGCCTGGCCGCGACGGGGAGCCGAGAACACGAGAACGCCCAACTCCTTCAACAACCTTAGGGGCATCAGTGAGGTTTGGCCTCTTGGGGCCCTGTCGGGTGGCCTCTTGGAGGCCGCTTTGGGCGTCTTGGAGGTCTCTTGGGCCGTCTGGAGGCCATCTTGAGCGTCTCGTAGCGATCGTTTGGCGACTTGGGACACTCTTGGACCGCCTTGAGGGCTTCGTGGGGCCCCCTTGGCCCGTTCTCGGGCCCTCTTGGGCCCGAACACATCATGCGACAGCACTCGGGGGAGCTCAGGGGAACCGCGCGACGCCCCAAGAGATTTGGGCCGAGGGGCTCCGATCCCTTTAAAGGCTCCTCAGGAGTGAGGGCTGATGCTTACGTAGAGGGTTAGTGAGATGACCTGAGGACACGCCCACTCCGTGCCCAGCGGCACGGTGGCGGATGTGTATGTATTGCACAATCTATGCGGAGCAATATCTTTGACGCAATCTGCGTGGTACAATAGATGTTCTGCAATGTATGGTGTGCAATATATGTTGTGCACTCTGTGTGGTGCGATCTAGGTGGTGCAACCCATGTGAATCGACAATGTGGTGCACCACATGGTGTGCAAGATAGGCTGTGCAATGCAGGTTGTGTTCTCTAGGTGGTGCAACACATGCTGTACAATCCATGTGGAGCAATATCGGTCGTGGAATCTAGATTGTAGAATTTGGTCGTGCGATCTATAAGGTGCACTATAGGTTTTGAAATGTACGTGGGGCAATCTATGTGGTGCAATCTATGTGATGCAGTCTGTGTTGTGAAACATATGGTGTGCAATATATGTTGGGCGGCGGCGGCGGCAACAAGCGCGGCGACCGACAGGCAGACCCAGACGACGGGCGGCGACGAGGCGGCGACGGGGCGGCAACGGCGGCCGCATAATTTGCCGCCAGACGGACAGACAGGCCCATACGACGGGCGGCGACGAGGTGGCGACGGGGCGGCGACGGCGGCCACATAGCCGCCAGACCGACAGACAGGCCCATACGACGGGCGGCGACGAGGCGGCGACGGCGGCCATATCGCCGCGAGACCGACAGACAGCCCCAGATCCTCAGAAAAGAAGTACGAACCCCTAAGTGCAAGCCTTGCGGATTATGGGCTCTGTTTCCAGCCCCCACACGTCCTTACATCGGGAGTCACCGGCCCACACCGCTCGCGCTTGAGATCTTTACCAGCTCAGGCTCCCAATGGCACCCCTAGCACGTCAGCAAGCATGACGTCGGATATTTTATGGTAACGGTGCCATCATAAGTCGTACACCGCACCGCCATTGCCATCGACAGTTTCCTTACGACCTTGCTGCAACATGAGAGCAGCGAACAACACTTCTACGCAGGCCCACCACAGCTGCACCACAGCACTCCAGCTTCTGACATATGCGTGCTGTAGCCTGTCGTGACGACGGCGACATTGCCAGGATTTCCATCGACTGGCGAGATCCATGACCGTCGGGTTCTGTCACCAGCGCCCTCATCACCACAACGACGAGCAGCGCTGCTGTCACAGGACCGTCGGCTAGCACGCCTTCTGGCACCGCCAGGACCTTTATTTCAGCCGCGGTCCACTTGGTAGTAGGACACGACTCGCCACCACGCCATCTAGCCGCACCACTGCCATTTTCAGCAGCACCGTTTGCAGCAACACCAGCCAGCATCAACGCGGTCTCAACGGGTACATCGCGTAGACACAGGCTTCCCCAGCGCTCGCACCAGCACTCTCCACTGACCAGGCCTCCCATCCCGGCTGGTGCCAGGACAGAGCTGCCAGCGTAATGTCGAATCACAGTTTGCATGATCATTCTATCCATTGTGCTATCATTCCGCCCAGGCGCACCATATCCAGCCACCATGTTTGTCGTCAGACGAACGTGTTTCGGTCCCACCTGCCAGTCCCAGCATTCCTCGTTCCAGGCGTAGACCAGTGCCGTCTTCATCAGCGGTGGAGGGCAAGCCACACCTCCTCTCAGCGGGTCTGCACGCGTGACGACCACGAAGTGCGTGTGCGTGCGTGTGAGTGTATATGTAGAGCAGGGAGCTCACCGACTCCCGCGCCAGCGGTTGCAGCTACCAACAGATGCCCACAGATATGTGCGCTCCCTGCCTGCGCTGTGCTCGACGGCGGCGACCCTGGCGGCAGGGGAACTGCAGCAGGTGCTGGCCGCACCTTCTAGTCCGTGAGTCCCCAATTTGCGCGCGAACGCTCGATGCACAAAGTTCCTAGGCTGCTCCAGAAATCGACGACGCGGCCACTTCAGCTGGCAAGGTGGACAGCAGCTCAGATCGCATTCCTGACCACGCACCGTGCCATCATAGCTCACCTTTGCGGCTGGTTGCTTCGCATGTTCTCGAACAGGGCCACTCAGACCATTACGTGCTGGACAACACGTCACATACCGACCGGCCACTTACCCGCCACAGCCCAGACCAGGCGCACGTCCTCCCCGACACGGCCATCCGAAAACGGCGCCCACCACCCGCGCCGCTTGCCCCCGACGCCTCGAGCACGGCTCCCTCGGCCATCGGAGGCAAACTGCGTGCCGACCTCATGGCATTGCGCGCCCACCCGCACTTCACGCTGCCCGCGCCACCACGCTGTGCATCTCTCTCTTAGGAACCAGATGCGACATAAGCATACGAACTCGGAGCTCCGCGCGGCTTCCTCGGATCGTCGCCAGGGACCCCTGGCGCTGGCTGCTTCCCTCGCCGGCCTCACGCCCGAGTGCGCGATGCAGTTTCTCTCCTCTCCGCTTTGCCTCGGCCTGCCCCAGCCGTCAGGCCGTGAGGGGGTGCTCGGGAGCACCAGGAGACAGCTCTTCACTCCTCCCTCTTCCTCCTCCCTGGTCCTCGTCCTCCCTTCCCTCTTTCCTCGTCCCTCTTCCCTCCTCTTCCTCCCTCGTCCCTCCCCTCTTCTCTCCTCCCTCTTCTCTTCCCCGCCTGCTCCTCCTGCTGTTTCCTGTCCTCATGATCCTGCTGTGGCTCCCTCTCCCCTCCCTTCCGCCATGCCTCCTCCATACCCTCTCCCTTCCCTCCCTTCCCTCCCTCAGCTCCCTCCCGCTTCCCTCCCCTCCCTCCCTAAGCCCTCTCCCCATCCCTTCTCCCTCCGCTCTCTTCCAGGCCGATCCGCAACGATTCCAGAGGGGGGGGGCGGCGCCCGACGCGGAGGAGGAGGAGGAGGAGGAGGAGGAGGAGGAGGAGGAGGAGGAGGAGGAGG